ACACGTCGCATGAAACTAAAATAGCATTTATACAAAACGATCTTGAAATCCATCGACAAATGAAAAGCGATTTCGTTTTTACAAGTAAATCTCGCAGCTTAAGATTATCATATCGTAGATCGGTAAGAAATAAAAGATTAAGTTTGTTAATGAAAAAATTAATTATCCTAACCACTTGATATTTATTTGAATCTTTTTTTCTTTAAATTAAAGTGTAAAATAAAAAAAAACAATAGGAACAAGTTTACAAAATTAATTATTTCTTTAATTTATTTGTATATATCATTAATATGAAAATACTATAAAAAGTATATAATATAAAGTAAATATATATAAATAAAAAAGTAACTAGAAAAATATAAATAAAAAAAGTATAGATAAGAAATATAATTTTTGTGTGTGTCATGATTATTATTAAAAGTAGAAAAATTAAGAGGATAACAAAAAAAGTTTGCTACTTTCTGGTCTGAGAAAGCGACCGATAGGGAATTACCTAGTTTAATTAACCGTGTACATCTTAATTAACTGTACTGTGATTAATATAATAACTGAGTATGGCTCGCGAGAAAATTAGCGCGCGATGTAGTCACCGGGATGTAATCATCGTTGACATTGATCGGCGATAGAGCTGTAACTCTACGAAGATATAGACTTCAAAGATAGTCTTAAGCACCTAAGCAAACAAGCACGACAAACGCACTTCCCGTATCATATAATCGCGCTGTTGTTGCACTGTTGTGTGAGTTTCGTCATCGCACAATAACTAGCAACGATTTAAGTGAGGATTTAAGTGAGTTAGTTGAAAAATGCATAATTTTATTGGACCATCAAAATAATTAAATAGGACACTCAAACTGATTATTAGAATATCAAAACTTTTTGTAACATTGCTCATCATGCTTCACCTTTTTACGTAATTAATTTGATGTTCCAACAAAATTATTTTCAAATCTATATATTTATTAGGTGTAGTAAAAAGAAATCCATTATTTTTCCATTCAATTTCATGCAAAAATAATAGATTTCTTTTTACTACACCTAATATATAGTCAAATTTTCAAATACTTCAGCAAAATTGTTCTTTCCATGCATCTAAACAGGTTCTTCTTAAGAGATTAATATTCCCTCCTGAAGACCCGATAAATCTAATCAGATTTTAATATAATTTCTAATTTAATATCAGGCTCTTCCGAAACTGAAAATTGATAACATTTTTCTACAATATATAAGAAATTGAGACTTTTTTATATTCACTGTTATTAAAAGATAACACAAAATAATTTCGTGGAATAATTGTGGAATTATTTTATTATGAGATAATACAGAATTATCTAAAATAAAAAGTAAATTTCACAATTATCTTATGTGTAATTGTCACTTAACATTTAAAGATTCTTTCTTAAAAAATTCATTTTCAAAATAATATATATCCTGAATTTTATGCGATAAGTTAATGATTCTGATATCATCCGATATCTAAAAAGATAATTGATAAGCAAAGGAAAACTCTCACGGATTTCAATTAATGACTTTTCAATTTTTTAACGCAAAATTTGTTTTTCTTTTATCGTGACGCAAAGAATTACTTACTCCTAATCATAGACAAAATACATATATCTATGCTACCAATCGAGTGCAGAAGGGCAGATGGGATTGATTGAGATGCATTTTTTCGATTGATAACGCACGGCCGTCTTCATCGATAAAAGACATATCGCGTACGCCTAGTGGCCTTTTTGCATCCTCATTAAGATGGAGAAAGGCGTGCTTGTGGGCGCGGGAAGTGTCTTTTCTTGGCGACCCGCATAAAAAGCTCTTTTCTCTACACCCAGTGTATCCCTCGCGTGCATGAAGATCGATTCAGGTTGCGCGCCCAACATTATTACGCATTCGAAAAGTGTAGAAGTGCAAATACTCATTCCCTTATCTGAACGGAATTGGGAGCGGTTCCTCGAAGTATACCAATACCCGGAACGCGATGCTTCTCACTTCTCATCATCATTTAATTTTAACGATAGATTTTTCGACGAAGCTGAAAACATTTCTAGGGAAGCTATCGATCGAAACTGGTAAATATTTTACACTAAATGTATCGATAATGAAAGAGTTTCAGAAATTTGAGATTTAAAGTTTTAGCATCTCGGAGAAAAACGATGAGTTTGGTTCATAATTTATAAGGTTCATTTTAGATGCGATTTTTGGAATTATTAGCTTTCATCTCGTTCTCTTATTTATTCAACTCCTTCGACTCTAAAAAACTCATCCAATTTTTAATGAACAATTGAATGTTTTTCACATAATGTATTTTATCGTAACAATTTTTACAATTCCTACAATGCACACACAAGTAAAGTTTGTAAATTAAAAAAATGCATATTTATGAAATTTCTCTCTTTCTGTCGATATAACTTTTCTATGTATTTAACAATGTTATCCAGAAAGAGTTAAATGCTCCAATCCTGATTTTACTCAATTCTCAATTTATCTGTCAATTAGGACATTTTATGAGAGATAATTTATATTATATTTATCAGGATATTTTATGTTGTATATTATATATTATTCCATATATGCACATCACGTGTATTGTTCAAAACAGTTAAAAGGTCATATTGCACTGTTAAATTCATAATGTCAAATTATATCCAATTTAAGTTATTTTTAGTCATTTCTATAGATCGCCATTGTTCCTACGCACTATATCATTAATTTGATTAAAACAATAGGGTTAAACAATTTAACTCAAGAAACTGCATTGATTCAAATTTGGTTTATTATTTACTAAGTACATTAATATGGATGATGTTTACTTTGAAACTAATCACAAAAATAGATTTACATTTTAACATACGTATGTAGAAGTTAAAAATAAGAAATTGCTATTTAAAATTCAAGAAATTCAGTTGTCATTGCTCCTTTGATATTTAACAATATACATCTAATAAATGCCTTATATTATATTATGTTTAAAAGTTATAAAATGATGTCTTTCCGCCAGTGTTCTATATTTCTGATGATTCATCTTGAAAGCTCGCAATCGTGATTTTTCTTCAAGTTTCAATTTGGAGGAAGAAAACCAAAGATCTCGAATGACACCTCCTAATGCCATATTATTATTACTCCGCCGTTTGGGAGTGATATTCGTAAGGCTGAGAAAACTGCCGCACGTCACGCCGGCCGCGCGCGGTCGCGTTCATTCATGATTTCGTGAGGAAACGACGGTGGCGACACG